CAAGCAGAATAATTGACAGGAGCTCGTGAAACTAATTTTTAAAAGGAGAGAAGAGAGAGAGAGAGAGGAATCATGATTGTAATCGTAAAGAAAAGGTTCGTCCTTACTATGTGACTTATGCATGACCTGCTGATCATTTTGTCTACAGATGGCATCAATGTCAGAGTCATAGACAAAATCCTTACACTTGCTGCAATAGATGCTACCATAAATTAGCTCAACGCCTAAGAACATGAATGAAAATGAAAGTGAGGGAAGATGAACAATGAGGGACTTACTCAGATAATGACCTGTAGTCTTCATATGATGACTCAAGTGATTCTCCGGCAAGTGGCAGCCAAAGTAGACACAGTGCAGACACGTGTGAAGGTACATGTTATAAGAATTACAGACATTGCATAGACAGGTACGGGCCTGTTTGAAAGCATATACATGAACACCAATATTTAATTGATAGCTAACACAATAAGAGCATGATGATATCATAATCAGTTGTTATTATGCACTAATTGCTGACCTTGACTTTTCTGGCCTCTGAATTGACAAGTTGTGGCTTGACCAGATATTTGTATATAACTTGATACGAGTGAAGGCCGGACTTCTCTTTGAAATCTAGCAAGTGAGGGCACCCTCTGGCCAGTTCTGACATGATTTCCTCCTCCTTTTCTCTCCTACCTTTCACATTAAACACATTTTCCGCACCCACTTGAGCCGAACTTCATGATTAAAGCAAGCAAAGATAATACATTAACCAAAAGTTGTTGTATTACGAGGAGGTGTGTCCTAGCAACGTCAGGTGACGTCAAACAACAAACAGGAACATGAATTATGAAGTGAAACTTTATGGGCGTGGTCTGAAATTAACGTCCGGTTTTGGTTTTCGAATTTATGACGTCAAAATAACACTGGGCAAGTGAAAAATGGCGACAACAGGGAAAGAAGGTTCTGCTCTTGAATACGAGGAATACATAGAGCAGCACGGGATTCAGGCTGTCCTGAAGGAAGCAGTAGCCAAACTATGTCAAGAGAGACCCGCCAATCCTTACAGATACTTGAGGGACTACTTTGAATCTCTTGATAAAGTAGCAATTATTTGGTATGTTTTTAATTGTGTCCTTTTCTGTTTCTAGTTTCAGACCAGTGGGCTCAAACTTGCTCCTGCAATTGTCACAACTCCAGAAATAAGTCAAGAGCCGCCTCTGCCTCAAAATGTTGCTTTTAAGAGAAGAATGGCAGTCAGTGGTTCTGTCATGACAGAGGAACAGGCTACAAGCTATGTCAAAAAAGTATTGACAATCATAAAAAATTAATATTAAATTCGCTCATCAAAGTACTTTTGTTATTCAAATTTAGAATGTTATAAAACATTCCAACAGAAATTCTATTTTAGCCCTCACTGTATCATACTGTAATTGTATGGGGATGTTTTAAAATGTTTACATCAATACACAAAGGTCCCCCCTACTCTTTGTGATGTCACTACTGAGTGTATACACATTATCTGTGCTTGTTTAATAATCAATTATCAAGTTCAATGAGCTATGCTTAACAGGTCATACCAAAAGATTACAAGACAACATCAGCCCTTGAGAAAGCTATCGCAAAGAATATCCTTTTTTCACACTTGGACGAAAATGAGAGAAGGTTTTATTTTAAAAACTCCATTTTACATTAATTTTACTCTTTGTCTAACTCTCTCCCTCTAGTGATATTTTTGATGCAATGTTCATGGCCAAATTTGATGCTGGGGACACCGTTATAAATCAAGGTATATCTTCTATATCTTGCTGATGTCCATTCTCTCTCTTTTCTTTCTTTATCAGGTGATGAAGGAGACAATTTCTATGTCATTGACTCAGGAGAAGTTGAAGTTAGTTTTTTTAACACCTTACAATACCATGATGTAATATTATGATATAATGATAATTATTACAGATATACGTTGATAATAAATTTTTGGGAACGATTGGTGAAACAGGAAGCTTTGGTGAATTGGCACTGATATATGGGACACCAAGGGCAGCCACGATAAAGGTATCCTTATAATATCGGAGTGACATTAGATATGATATCTGAACAGGCTAAAACTGACACTAAGTTATGGGCCATTGACAGAGATACCTACAGAAGAATCTTAATGGTACACCACACATGAATGTGTAATGTTACTTAATATTATTGATTTCATTTTAGGGGAGCACTATTAGAAAAAGGAAACTCTATGATACTTTCCTTGAGAAGGTTTCAATATTAGGTGAGTGTAGAGTCCTAGAGTTTTAATCATTTTGTGAATGATATGAAACAGAGAACCTTGATAAGTGGGAGAGGATGACAGTAGCAGATGCACTGGAAGCTTGTAGGTTTGAGGATGGACAGCACGTTGTGACTCAGGGAGAACCAGGAGAAGACTTTTACATCATCGTTGAGGTGGGTCTGGTATGACATCATTATAAAATGTGGTATGACTGATGTTCCAGGGTAAAGCTGTGGTATTGCAGAGAAAGACAGAAGATGGTGAGTATATTGAAGTTGGACAACTTGGACCTTCAGATTACTTTGGTAAGACATACTACTTGTACACTGTATTTATCATTAGACTTATTTGACTTCATTTTATGTTAATACTGTAGGTGAGATTGCATTGCTGTTAAAAAGACCAAGAGCTGCTACAGTGAGGGCCAAAGGAAGCCTTAAATGTGTCAAGTTGGATAGAGCTCGTTTTGAGCGTGTCCTTGGACCGTGTCAAGACATATTGAAGCGTAACATTGCCCAGTACAACAGCTTTGTACAGCTGGTCGTCTAACAGAAGGAGGAGTCTCCACACCTACTCTTGTTATTGGATTCACTCACTTTCGCCTCCTTTATCTCTCTCAAATTTATTATTAATAACAACACTAATATAGAATTAACAGTACAATGAAATTAATCTTTATAATGTTATTATTAAGTTTAACTACCATACATTGTATTCGTCCTTGTATTTTGTGTCATTTAATTACAAAAATAATAAATAATAATTAATGTGATTGTCAACCTTTGTATTACAAGTCCTATGTTCATCAGAATGGCTCAGGGTTGACTCTAATAATCTTCTTTTCATGTCCTCTTAATATCAGAAACTCTACTGTCTTTCCTTTCTGTACCTCTTGGTATATCTCTTCACTATTTCTCACTTCTTTTGAGTTCATTTCAATGATAATGTCATTCTTCCTAAGTCCAGCTGCATCTGCAGGACTGCCTCTCCAGACATCAACTAAAAGGACTCCATGAGAGACTGCAAATGACGTAAACCTGTTTTGAATGTGGGGGAGTACAACTGGAGATATGGTCAACATTGAGATACCAATCCCGTAATGACTTGAAGCAGAACCACTGCTCCTGCTTGTCTTCTTACTTGCTCTTTCTAGAAACCTCTTTGCAAAGTCACTGGGTATTGCAAAAGATATCCCAGGACCAGCTGTCATTACGTTGACACCTATGACCTCCCCATCCAGATTGACCAGTGGGCCACCTGAATTACCAGGGAGTATTGCAGCATCAGTTTGAACATACTCCATGTCTGGTTTTTGATACTGGAGTCGTTGATCAGGTATTTCAGAGGCTGGTCTATGTACGCTGCTAACGACACCCGAAGTAATGGTGTTTGATAGTGATAATGGTGATCCAAGAGCTATTACCCATTCTCCTGGTCTTAAACTAGCCGAGGAACCAAACTCTAGTGACGGCAGTGGTTCAGATCCTTTGGGTAAGTCTAGTTTTATGAGTGCCAGGTCAGCAACATGATCAGTATGAGTAACTGTACCAGTCAGCGTCCGTCCATTATAAAGTTTTACAGTTACAGATTGAGTGGAGTGCACTACATGAGCGTTTGTTAGTACGTAACGCCCACCATTAATTATAAAACCAGATCCAATGGGAGCTTGAACCTTCCAGGCTCTGCGATGCTGAAACATTCTTTGTTCTATTCCAACTACACTGGGAGATACCTTCTCTACAGTATCTGCGAGGAAATTATACCTAGCTGATCTTCTCTGACCTGCTCCTTTATCATCTGATTCTGTAGCAGTACAGCCGGCGGTTTGAAATATCCCTTTTCTCATGTCCTCTTTATTCTTTGTGTAACTGTACAGATAGAAACAACCCAATCCAAGCAACAGTCCCAACTTATAAGACCTGGTTTCTTCCTTCTCCCCACGTGGTTTATGGGATGGTACAGCAGTGGATAACAGAGCCAGTCTTTCATCATCACAAGACTTTATTCTCCAGCAGAAAGAACTCAGAGCTCCTGGAATGGGTACAGCTCTTGGATAAACTCTTCTCAGCACAAATGCCATAGTTAACTGTTGACTTTCAAACACACACTTATTTTTTCCACTCCTCCTCTAAAAGCATATATCTTGTTGAAAGGTCCACCCCTTTTGTGGTCATTCACATCATGGCGGAGGGTAACTTGGAACAGACCATGGACACAGACTTGAGGATAAAGAACGACCACGAGTTGTTCCTCGAGGCATACGAGAGTGAGTCCTGTAGCGGGGAAACCTTCAAAGATGTCCTTGAGTTGACTGAGAGAGGAATGGAGAGGGCCAGAGACTGTTTGGGTGTTGTTGTGATAGGGGGTAGAAATTCAAAATATATAAGTCTGTTATTTACCCTCTCTTCTTGTCAATCATGCATTATTCTTTATTCTTTCATTATAATGTGCAGAACCAACCCAGATATATCGATTCCTAAGATCAAGACACTTGCTAGAGGTATGATAGCAAATGGAAAACTCCTCATCAAGTCACAACCCGTATCATTATATACATTATGCCTCTCTCCTTTCTTCCTAGCCTATTTTTTTACAACGGAATCTCTCCTACATGAAGAGATCAAGGTAATCATGGATAATTTTTTTATTTTTAGCAGATTGCTGACATTCTGAAAGCAATTTACAGCAAAAGCCAACCCTGAAGCTTTGTACTGCAGAAATTCACTGGAAATGCACAGAATAGTTTTAATTAGCAGCAAATTTAGGCAGTAATGATCATTCTTTTAAAAATGAAGTCAATCTGATTGACTTTAATGTCTGCTATCTGTATATGTGATAATAGGACCAAACCTAAAAGAAGAAACATGCTCAAGTTGAATGATCTTGCCAAGCAGACAAAGGAAGTAAAGAAAGACATAGCAGAAGAGATAAAGAGGTATCACATGATTGTACTTTAATAATTATAAGTAACATTATTTCTTTAGTGATAACCAGCTCAAAATAACCTTTCAAGCATTGGGTAAGCATTTATACTGCACCATGTGTCATCTCTCCCTCTCTCTTTCTGTGTGTTTGTGTTTGTTAGTTTGTTCATTTTATATAACTAATGTCACTTTCATTTTCAGATTGTAGCACAAGTTCATCAACAATAGAAGGAGAGCATAAGCCTATGTCTTTTGACAAGAGGCCAATGGGAGTTGAAGTCATGCTTTATAAATTCAAGCAACCCTCGCCTGAGGTTGGTTCATCAAATGTTGTGTGAATCCTTCTCTATACAATTCCTCTCTCTTTTTCACAGATTTTACTTACAACACCTTGTTCTTTACCCTGTGACTGCATATCATTGGGGAAATGTGTCATACCCGGTACAGGGACAAGAGCATCTTCTGCAGCATCTTCTTCCAACAGGAACTCCATTACAGTCCCAGGCAGTGTTCTCTCCTGGAGAGAGATAGATCATGGACCTGTTGGCACTCATGTCTTGGCTTTTAGGATCGTCCCTTTGACAAATGATGATAATCTCGTGTCCTCTTTGGATAAGAAAAAATCAAGAAAGAGACCCTTGGTGAGACTTTAGTCCTGACCGCATGTGTACAGGGACTTTTGACAAAAATTGAAAATAGAGAATTCTCCATTGTCATAACTATTTCCTGATGCATATACATGTACTTATGTTGCATAGAAAGTTTGAGCTGTTTCCGATCAAAATTAGATTTTTTAATGAATTTTAAAAGTTACTCCAAAAGGGTTGCATTATAGTGCAGCCATTAAGCTTTCTGTAAGTGATACATAATCCAGCTGCTAGTGTGGACCAGATGAATTCAGTATTATTCCAGCTGTATCAACAAAGTATAGCTAAACTGCAATCTGCAGTCACCAATCCGTAACTTCTACAAGCCATGTTTCTGTTTCATGGTGTTTGTTATTGAAATTACTTCTCAATGCAATTAGCTTTGTAATTGACCCCAGGTCTGGGCTATTACTATTTATAAATGATGCGTTCTTTAATCATTCTTTATATACTTATGTAGAACACTGGTCTGTCTTCAGGCATTGATTCACATGACAGTGTTACTCCCTCCATTAATGGCTGCATCCATATTGAAGAGAATGAGCAGCAGTCAGTCCCGAGGGAAGAGATTAAAGACAAGATTCTCAATAAGAAAGTCCCTGGTGGGACAACCCTTCCATCACTTACAGCAACGACCCGTGATAGCAACCTTGTCATATCAATATCAAGGAACCCTAATGAAGCCACTGATTCTTCTCCAACTGCTCCTCCTAAAACTAATGGTAGCAGCTGTAGGATAAGACGTAATGAGCTACAGCTTTTAGTTGACAATAGTACTAATAGTTTGACCTCTTCCAGCTGCTTGCCTTCTTCACTTCAACCTGTTGAGAATGAGACCTGCTCACGTAAGAGACCTCACTCTGAGACCTCACCCTCTCCTCTCAATCCTTCAAAGAAACACTGCACCTCCTCCTCCATTGACAATGACATCCCCTCTCCTGCTGGAGACCTTCCTCCTTTATCCTCCTCCTCCTCCATTTTGAAAGAGGAGGAGGAGGATAAGTATTATGCCGAGCTGGTTGCTTTTGATTCAAGAAAGGAATGTCTTCTTTATGATGGTGAGTATCAGCTTCATTTGACAAAACTGACTCCTAAAAGGAAGCTACCAACAGAACTGAGAGTAAATGGTATGAAACCTTCAACTCTTTTCAAATGGGGCAGTGGCATTGAGCCTGCCAACAAGTCATACACAGTTAAGTGTGGAAGGTTTATATGTAGCTATACTCATACTTCTTTTACCTTGGCTTTCACTGTAGGAGTCAGTAAAAGAGACTGTGTCACTAAAGTTGTCTATTGAATGGAACCGTGGCCCTCCTGTCCCTAGAATTGAAGAGATCAGTAACACTGCACTTGACTTTGCTAAACTAAGAGAAAGTACTGATGATACAGTATTATTGTGTTATTTTACTAGTCTCTCTTCTCCATACCTGCAGATTATGATGAACTCATCCAATCAATATCAAAAAGAACTCAATCTGCAGCAGTTCAGCAACAGAAGTCGGCTGATCGAAAAACGACTCCAACTGCTTTCAATTTTCTATATAATAAGAACACCTTGCAGCAAACTGAGCTGAAAACAGACTGTGTGTGCCCATGGTGCAGTCTGAACTGTGGGGAATTATACTCTCTTCTTAAGCACATGTCACTTTGTCATCCAAGATTCCTTTTCACTTACACAGTAAGAAAACACACATCCAGTTTGCAAAACTCTCTCTCTCTCTCTCTTTATGATTTCCATTTCATAAACTTGTTCTGGTATGCAGTTTCACTGCTTCATTATTATTATTATTATTATTATTATTATTATTATTATTATTTGTTTTAGCCCATTGAAGGAGGTGCCAGTATTGATGTAAGGATCAACAAGATGTATGACTCACCTGATTCATTAGACCTCTCAGAGAAAGATGACTCCATTCTTACGAGAAAGAAAAGACCAACAAAGTGTGAGCCATTCACAAGACTCCTGGTCAAAAGGTATCATAAACAAGAATATATATTCCAACATTTGTTTCACGTATTGACATTAGCAGAGGTTCTAAAGGAAGAGCAACACATGACTTGAAAGAATTCATGGCTAAAAGACAGTTTGTGAAGACGGAGCCATCAAGGTGAAAGAAATAATTCTCTTTGTCGTTATTATTTGCATATATTTAGAGTCTTTTACCACACACACACTTGTCTACCAATGCTACTACATGAGATAGATAGTGATGAAGACCCAGTCCCTCAGTGGCTTAAGATAACATCAAACAAGGCAAGACATTATTGAGCATTATATTATGTTAATCTTTGATTTATTCTTTATTGTCTTTGACAGATGGTAGATGAATTTATTGATGTGAATCAAGGAGAGAAACAGTTCATGAAGATTTGGAACACTTTTCATGATGGATAACATGTAACGGTCCTCCATTAGTTATTGTTTTTAACAACCACTTCTTCCTCTTCTGTAGGACTGTGGCTGATAAGCAGCTGCCTAGTTTCTGTCTCAAGTTTGCATACAC